GTGAGGCTCGGTGCTGGACCGACCCAGTCTTGTATTAACATTTTACACTTTGAAGGTGCAAAACGCATACCGAATATGGCTACACTAGCATTCAACTTATCCAGAAATGCTTGCAACTTATTTGGATCTTCACAATGTCGTTTGCGTACTCTAGATCAGACAGCCTGCCACCTGGGAGTAAATCGATGGCATTACCCTCGCACGAGGATAGGGCTGTTTCCATAATCAGATATATAACAAAGTTGAATAGAAAAGGAGAGAGAGGGCAACCCTGACGAACACCACTTTCCGTGAACTCGGGCGAAAAAGTGCCGTAAGCCCGGACTAAACTTCAGCTATTAGTATAAAGCGATCGTAATAATGAAATAAACTTCTCGGGCACACCCTTCGGAGCGAGAGAGATCCAGAGTTTAGGGAGGTCAACTGAGTCGAAAGCCGCTTTCAGATGGAGAAAAACAAGGATGGTGGGTCTACGAAAGGAGTGTCTGTGTTCTAGAATTTCACGAAGAGTGAAGATCTGGTTGATACAACCCTGATCAGGTCTAAATCCAGCCTAGTTCTCGCGCGTATGCTGTCCACGTGCGGAGACAATTAACGGAGTATGATCCCAGCAAGAAGTTTGGAGGCATTGTTGATTAAGCTAATTCCTCTGTGGTTTTCACAAAAGGATTTATCACCTTGTAAATCGGTGAGATGACCGATTCAAATCATTCTGATGCAACGTGTTCCCTTTCCCATGCTGAGCACAAGAATTTCGACAAATCCAAAACTAACGCGAGCCTTCATCTTCAAACGCCGATGGGAACAGCCCGTCTGGGCCGCAGGCCTTATGCCTTTTAAGAAAACTTATTTCCCGAGGAATCTCCATTTCAGATGGAGGACTGGTATCAGCTGGTAGTATTCGTCGAGGAGGGAGGTGATAAGTCAGATATTGATGAGGGTCAGTTAAACTGAGCCTCGAAATTTTCAACCTATCGATCAAGACGGCGCCGCTTGTTCCCAGGATGTGTATTTTCGTTACTATAACCACTATAACCAGGTAAATTCGTTTGGATGAGCGGTAAGAACCGCGAAGCCAGGCGTTTGCCTCTAGCGAAATTTTGTCTAGTCAATAAGATACTAATCATATATATATATATGAGTGATGGAAAACCTAAGTTTAGAGAACTAAGAGCCGATTCTCCGGGGGTCGATAACTGGAAGACCCGGTTGTTGTAAAACGCTCAAACAATGCAGTGCCTGGGAAATTTGCCATACAAGAAGAAAAACATGCGGGAATACAAGTGCGACGAAATATAAAAACATTCCCTCCAAATGTGCGGCGTGATGTAAATCTCGATTACCTCACCCGTGAAGCCTAGGTGAAAAGCATCGATTGCGAAATTCCAGAGGAGGCGGACTGGTTGATGGAGCTGGTACGGGAACGTGGATGACCAGCATCGAAGGGAGTAGTGTCAGGAGCAAATGACTGGTAGATTTTCTGTCCAGCGTGCGACGACTAGCTCATAAGGCTTTTCGTGGGCCCAGTCCAGATCAATTCAGCCAGCGACTACTGGAACGGTTCCAGGTCACAGACGAATTAACTCGTCATCCTCCTAAAAACGTCGGTGGAGCGGAGTCCTTGGTCCGGGTTTAGGAGTCGACATTGCGGTTAGGTAGTCATGCTCTGAACAACACGTTCGCCTTTGGAAGGTCCAAACGACTAACAGTTTCGAACAGAATCTCGCGGCTACCCCAAATAGATTATTCTGATGTCGGCCGTTCGGTTACATCTCGCGGTTGTCGCGTCAACCATGCGGGTACGTAAAAGTTGCATGAACGCGTTTGATTGTAACAACAATTGCTGCGATTTGCTGTTTTTAAGCGCTGAAGTTTGTGGTAAACCCTGTTCATGTCTGGTAGATTCTGGGTCGACGTGCTGCCTCATTCTTGATAGTTTAGCCGGCAAATAGGGTCTATTTAGGAATTCGGCGGCCACAAGAGCATTGGTATGGGTCGGCGATAAGCGTCCTGGGACAATGGTCTGCAACGGTTAACCTCAAGGGCGTTAAAATAACACTCATTTTGTGATTATTTTCTCTGTCTCTCGGAAAAGAGGGAACATGGACAGTGAAAGAAATAACCCAACAACCGAAAGAGGAACACATTGTATTACTATCGCAAAACACAGGAAAAAGTGAACAGATTGCAGTACTGTTGACAATCATGACGTAACTGGTTCCATATAAATAAATTTACATTCACCGAGCTTAGCCCGAAAATTAACCAAATCACAGTTCAACAAATAATCCGCAAAAAATCAATGAAAGGATACAGCAGGGAATTCAACTCCAGATAGAGAAGAGACAAAGCAGACACAGGAATTGAATGAGAATTGGTAGGGAGTGTTATCCATATATCCNCGATGTCGTCTTCGGTGTCCGCCACTGGATTGTGAGTCTTTGCCACTGTGATCTATAAGTATGAGATACAAAAATTATAATTATTTGAATTGAATGATTGTCTGTCGCGAGTCAATAGAGGAATCCAAAAAGTATTGTAATTACGGAGGGCTAGTTAGTGAACCGATAGCCTTAGTATGGTTGAGGTGGATGTCTTGGTTTATGGCTGGTCACCTTTCCCTTGCACCTGGTGAAGTGCTCCTATAAAACCAAGCGTCTAAAACGGCCTCCGCTGAAGAAACCCTACTCATTGCCTTCTCGTGCGGGTTTCCCCACTCAAGTCCGGGGACGAAGAGACAATATGCGGGGTTACGGCTGGATCGGTGAACCCCTGGCAGTTCACCTTTGGGAGTTGGCTAAAAACCCTAATTCCAAACTAATCAAGAAGAGGTGTTTGGACCACACACACAATTCCCGTTGAGACCGTGGTCACCAGCTCGATGGAGCATCGAGGTGTATTGGGCGCTTCGAACGCTTGGCCTCGCCCAAAGGGTGTATGATTCGATGAACTGGGTACAGGCCCCCCAATGGATTTCGGTTTCCACACCCCACCCGTTGCCTTGCGAGCCAGGCTCTGGCTAGTCATAGGCTCCTATTTTGAATTCCCCAAGAAAATCCACCTACCTTGTCCTGGGCAAACTGGCCGTATTTCACCGAAAAAAACCGTGCAGCTTTTTCTTTTTTACAAGGATCATTGTACTATCATCTGTTTGGCAGTCTCGACTCAGACGGGTGTGAAATACAGTACAATACAACGTATGGGCACCGTCATATATATATATATATATATATATTCAAATGGGTAGGGTTTTCAAATCATTCCTCCGCCTACGAAGTGACCGCTTTTGATCACCCTTCGGCCACTGACTTTGTGGGTGAGCACTGTGCACCGGAGAAACCTACCAGGGGACAAGGACAACAAACGTCTCAATGAAGTTTATTTTTCATTAAATAATTAACCTTTTCCATCCGTGGTTCGGATTTCACTGATTACTCATGTGATCGATCCATGATAATTAAAGGCAAACCTGAGGAAGCCATTGGGAGTATGAGTTCTGGTACGAAGGGACTGCGGTAATGCCTATCCATTAGGAACGGACCTAAATCGTTTCAACTTCACTGATGTTGTTAAGACGTGCTGATTATTTGCAGCACTTGTGGGAAATAATCGTTTTTGCACATACTGTATTAAATCAATCCATAATTCAACTGGATGGAAATATTTTAGACAGGTAAATAACCTATAAAGATGAAAACTGTCAAGCAAATCGCACTTTTCGTGAAAATAAGCTATGTTAATTAATAATACAGTAAAAATCATGTAAAAACGCTGGCATAATTATCACCTTTCCAATACTGTTGTAACGCAAGGAAACCGCACCAATATTAGTTCATCTTAAGCGCTTGTAACTCACATAACCTTTTGAGTTCATGGCGTTTTGTTTCGTTTGGTTTGCAGATCTGTACTAACCCCCATACAATGAGGACCTATCTGTCAATGTTTTCTCGCACTTTCGTTCCCCGTTGTTTGTGTCACCGTTCCATCTTGCTTCGCAACTCACCCGCGTATAACCTTGAGTCACGAGAATACGAGTAGCTCATCTGTATAAAGTCCGATTCGCTTGAGGGCCCGGAACACGTTCGCGTTACATCGTCATATTTGTACGTATTTCAGTACTTTTCAAAACCGGTTTACTCTCCTAGCAAGCAGAATTCTATAATCGACCATCAGTTTCAAACTCCATAGGATAAAATGAAAGAAGATACGGTAACTGGAATGAATGATTAAATCGTATTATTTGTACGTCCTGGATCATACGAATGACTAACCGTAGACGTGTGACAGCAGTACCCTTCAACTCATTCACACGTAAGGCTGTAATGAAAACAAATAATTGCTACATCGAGCTCTTACCAGACAGCTCACAATGAAGACATGGGGACGAGTTTGGTTCTTGTATATCGAACCTTTGGATGACAGACTCATCACCGGGCCAGGTACACGTCGGACCTGTGGAAGTGGTGCAATGCTTTGGTCGATGTCACCGGTGTGCATTGGACCCTATGGTATGAGGTTCGAGCCCCGTCACCGCCAGACAACTTTGGTGGTAAGCAGCTTTGTTGTCGTCCGTTTCAATACGACGCCCAACCTACTGGGGCCTTGTGTGGTTCGTCACTCCAAGTCCCGGGGCTTAAGTTGCCGGTTGCCATCGCTGAACNGCAGGTCTTCACGCCCCGTATGCCGTTCATCACACAAAGGCATTTAATAAAGGATATGGTTTTTAATGTAGCTTAACTTAACGTAGCTTATGCTCAAGAAAAGGAGTTCGTTGATAATTGTTTTCTTTGTTTTCCCCGGTGACCCCGCAGAGATAAGCCGCTAAAATTCCGGCAGGAAGCCGTCAAGTTTAATATGGAGAACTCAAAAATGTCTATGGAATACGCCACTGAGACTCAAATTGATCACCCCCTTCACATGATATAGCTCGGGTAGCTTTCTTTTTTTATTACACATTTATGGGAGTCTCCTCCGAAAGAGTTCTTGGTAGATGGGCACTACGTCCTGCATTCAAACACAGATAAGTGATATTCCACTCGGGGGTCTATCTCAGTCGGGAGGGAAACAGCTCATAGAAAGACAATCTAATAGGGTATTCGAACTGAACTGACAACATTCGAGTAAGAAAATGCTAGAAAACACTAACTATTGTTCAACGCTTGTTCAATGGACATGCCAGTTCAGTCTTAAAAACCGGCTGCCTTTGATAGTAAAAATAGTAAGATCACAAGAAGGAATTTACCAGTGGGAAAACTAACATTTTTGAGTCGAAGATAGACGGCTTTTCTCGCTAAACATAAACAATACACAACATAAACATAAACAAAAGACGCCTAACAAACAGAGATTACGATCATCCACTCAAAAGAATTACACTTCAAAATCGGGATACATTTAGCAGGCAATAAGTTCTGGGAGATCAGGTTAAGTGTTAGTGACGAGATAAAAATATACGAAACAGTATAAAACATACCATGAGAACTTTGACTGCTGTTTTTCTTCTCCTCACTTAGGCTGCGAGATGAGGAGGTGGCTGAGGTCTGAACCGCTTCATCTGTTTGTAAATGATGATGGTCTGGAAGTGATGCAACCTCGGGGGAAGTTGCGGGCAGGGGAGGTGCAGCTGCGATTAAAGGTGAGAATAAAGTGCTGGGGCCGGGAAGCATAGCTTTGTTTGCATCATTTATACCGGTTCCAGTCACTTGGTTTGCTGGTGTCGATGCGGACAACATATGTGTTGGTGTGAGTGAATTGACAGAAAACATTGAACTGTCACGCACGGTTGGTCGGCTTGAAGGTAAAGAGAGGAGAATAGTGGCAGAAGCACTTTTGCGACGTTCCTGCTCCGCCAAGCTTAAGTCTGTCGATTTGCGGGGGACTGGAGGAACAGCAATACGTTTCATAACACCAAAGTGCACCGAAGGACGCCCGGATAGTGGAGCGAAAGGAGAGGCGAAGACAGAAGAAGAGGGTTTTGTAAGTACTGTTTTTGCTTTTCGCAGCTTTTCTGGATCCGGCTGAACAGGCTTGCGACACTTTAATATGGCACGCGGTTTGCTTCCAACTTCACCTTTTGGATCTATGTTCTCTTTTTCATCATCACTACACGCAAACAGATCAAATGCGTACGGATCCACAGTTTTAACTGGTTTGGGAGGCTCCGTTTTCCGAGTCCGTCTGGTAACAGCACGTTTTGGTTGGACAGGATCAACGGGTGCAACTGTCTCTGCCTTACTTTGCCCGGGAGGCTTGCGAATGTGTGTACTTTTCTCCGTTCTAGAAGACTCTCTTTTTGACGATGCTACTCGGCCACTTCTGCTACTGCTTCGTGTACGTCGAATCTCGGTGGAAGTATTCGACTGTCCGAGGACAACACGAGATGATTTCGCTTTCTGCTAAAAGTAAAAAATGAGATAACAAATAGTAAATGTTTGATCTTAGCTCAAACTGATGGAATAAATGTTTAGACATCATACGTTAGATTATGCTCTGTTGATCCGTTTATTCAAAACAAGAGAAGTTGTGAAAACGACACTCAGTCAGTGATCAGATCACACTGATGCACAATAACGTAACTGTCGAAACATTACTGTTATGCAATAAAACGCCGAACTCACAAGTTTGTCTGTACGGCGCAAAAACCTGGAAGCACTTTGACAGTCGGTTGACAGAACACGAATGTCATGATTATTAGTGCTCCAAACCAAATATCTTTTTGCCTTAATAATAAACAATGAGAACATTGGCCGTCAAGTACTCCCATGGAACTATTTCAATTTCAGGTTCAAATATACCTGTTCTTGGTCAGAGAACATTATTGTATGTACCTGGGATTTACGCTCAAAATTCTCTATTTGTCAATGTACTGCGACTTATTAGTTGGGCCACTGATTTATGGAAACTGAAATATGAAAGTTTCTCGATGAATCCAGTATGTGTTTATGCACTTTAGTCTTACTAATCCATACATTTTCTTCGGGATTGTTCAGAATATTTTCATAAGGTGTAGAAATCCAACTGCAATCCAACAGGTAAAGTTCTGAGCTTCTAGATTTTACAAAGTTACACCATTAATTGGATGAAGAAAGATACGAAATCCAGGTTGGATGGAATGGATGTCACGCGAATCAACTTAATGTAGGACTTCAGTTTCAGTTGGTACAACCATCAACCATGCACTTTCGTGCTGCGGTTTGTTTGGTTGCTGTCTTTTGGCTGCCCATTCGGATGAAGGCGTTTAAGTTGAAATGTGGAAAGTTGAAAGCGTAATACTTGCAAAGAGTATTAACAAATTACCTGAGAGTCAAATCAAATCAAACTACGGACAAAATGACTGGGTTATCGGTTGCTGTGTTTTATCTGCAAACACGTTAGTGATCCAGCACACAAAGATGGTGTTATGAAACAGTATGGCCGATAAAGGTAATGCTGATTGGATTGCAGAACTAAACATCGTTTCAAAGAAAATGATAGTCGGGTAGTTCAGAATGCTGATTATTGCAAAATTACCTTATCCAGATAGACAACGAAGAGATCACTCACAAAAAAAACATAAGCTGCATTGCTATAGCAATGCATCTGTGGATCTGCATCCCTCATGGCCCCAAATAAATAATTCCGAAAAATCCCAAAAATATGTTTCATTGTAGGAGATACAATCAAGTTTGTTGTCAGCCACGTATCCCGAGGATAGTGTACTTTGTGTGGTGAAAAATTACCGAAAACAACTTTTCACAGGGCATGAGATTTCAACAAAAAGATCACCCAAGGTTAGCCCCGCCGAATTCTACTCTGAGTTATATTTCTCAGTGCCTCTAACCAACGTTTCTTATCCCCTGAACTTCAACATGGAAGACCAAGTGCACCAACCAAAGCTAATGCTGAAGCGAACTTCTGACCACAAAGCCAAGTTATGGTCTGATAGCCGTCGCTTTTTTCAATTCTTGCTTAGTACGTGCGAAAAGCACAGAGGGGTATACGATGGGTAAGACACGCTAGACGTGACCGAGACATCCAATGTGATATAATGCGAGTTATTTGAGTGAACGACCGTTAGCATCTAATGTATGATGACGAATTTCATCACTGCTCAGGTGATGCTCTTGAAATACGAACAACTCTCTGAAGACATCGATGGTCGAATACAGAATGTCGATCAGCATCCTCAATGCGCCAACTAGTATCAGGTAATTCGAATCGTGTTAGACTGCATGTGTAGTAAAGCGACGTCATCGGCAATCTCAGGGCGAGAACTGCTCCTTGGGAACGGCTCAATTCAGCCGTTTATTAGTTCAGACAAAGTCATCCTCATCATGGTAGTGAAGCGAACTTCGCTGATCGCTTCCAAAGCCGCAGTGCATACAATGTATGAGCTTTGGGTGTGAGCGAAACAGTCTATGAAGCTGACAGCTTGCTTATTCACAATAAACAGCAACGTATTGAACGCTGGACGGAGCACTTAAAAGCACAGTTTAGCTGGCCACCAGCGCCAGCTTCTCACACAGCCATTCCGGCACATGTCTCATGGTCTGTCTCAACATACCCACTATGAGAGGCGGAGAGCCGCGCAATGATCCAAGCCTTGGGACGTCCCAAAGCACTGGGCTTTGATAACCTTCCCCCGGCTCTACTTAGAGATGACGGGATGAAGCGTGTCAGAGAACTGCAAGTTCTGTCCCCTAAAGTTTATGAAACTGGGCAGGATCCCTCCCGGAGGGGAATCGATTGTTATTCCCATCTTGAAAAAGGATCAGCGAAGTGTTTGAGCCAACCATGGAGATATCAGTCTTATCCCAATAGCGTTAGAACTGTTTGCATCCGTCATTCTTCGTAGGTCATATAAGACGCGCGAGGAGCAGGCTGGGTTTCGCGCCGGTCGTGGTTGCATCGATCGAATTTTCACCCTCCGGCAGCTGCTTGAGCACCGTCACGGTTACCACACACCAACGATCATTGTGTTCTTATACATTGGTGCGGCCTTCGACTCCACCGATAGGACTTTGTTTAAAAATGGAGCACCTGAGAAGTGTATCGTTCCTCAGAGAGTTGTATCGTTGTACCTCAGGCTGGGTTATGGCCTAAGGCCAGCTTTCACCACCCTTTGCCATTGCCTGTGGAGTTCAACAAACTGCTCTATATCCCCATTCCTCTTCAACTTTGCCATAGAGGATGTTCTACAGGACGCTTTGTCCGGTCTAGTAAGCGACGAAGTCAAACTCTTCCTAGGGAACAGAGTTCTTGACTTGGAATATACCGATGACATTGCCTTGTTGGGTAACAATGCACAGAAAACCCAACACGCTTTAAACGATTTGACGATAGACGTATTAAGGTATGGCATATGCTTTGCATCATCCCAGTGCAAAGTGCTTGTATAAGACTAGAAGGAGCTTTTACCTGCACTCGCTCACGGTAGGGATCAGATAGAATAAGGTGAGGGCTTTAAGTACCTCAGGAGTTTAATCACAGGTGGTGGTGTTTTTCCTTAATGGAAGGATGTTTCAGTTTTTAGTTTGAACAACTAATAACCATGCACTTTCGTGCAAGATGTACATATATTTAACACCGGTTGGAGAACAAGCATGGTGCCAACGCCACAACAATATCAACAATACCAATAACGCGGGGGGGGGCGTTGGGATAGAGTATAGGGAAAGACGTAACTGTCACAATTGAAGATTACGAATAAACGGAATAACAATATTTTTTGTGTTTCACCGTAAACCTTTAGAACTTTTTTGTTGTTTGTTTTTACGGGATTTCGACAGGCAGACCTTACAATACTCGCACCACTGACTTCTACTCTGGGCCATATATCTCACCGTCTCAAACCAAAGATAAACCTCATCCCGTGGGCCCCAACCTGGAAGGCAGGATGCACCAACCGAAGCCAAAGCTAAAGCTAGCTTCTTTATTCCCCTACGCCTGGTCTGACCGCCGCATCGCTGCTTCCAACCTTGCCCGGCACGTGCGAAGAGAGCACAGAAAGGTAGTCGATGGGCAGGTATACGCAATACGTGACCAAGCCATCGGAGGCGGTGTAGAGCGATTACTTCTGTTAGGGAACGACTATCCGCACCCTACACACGACGACGGTCCTCGTCATTGCTCACCCGGTGTTCCCACCAAATACAAGCAATGCTACGGAGACATCGGTGGTCGAATACATCAAGTCGATTAGCATTCTCCGCAACCGTAAAGGAGAACACTACGAACTGCGGCATGTACACTCTTCCCTTAAGGGACAGTCGGATGTCATGGCGGCGCCACAGATGTCGTAGGTTGGCGAAAGCTGCTCTAGCTTTCGCTATTCGTGATGTTATCTCGTCCCCAACACCAACACCAGCTGCGATCAAGCTCCCGAGGTACTTAAGGTTCTCAATTACTTCTAGCTGATCACCACAGAGGGTGAGTGCAGGCACAGGCTCCTGTCAGTTTTGAACCAGCACTTTGCACTTGGAAGGTGCAAAGCACACACCATTCCTGGATACCTCGATCGCCAAGCGGTTCAAAGCCTCTTGGACTGCCTGTGTATTGTCGCCAAGCAAAGCGATGTCATCGGTATATTCCAAATCAAGAACTGTTCCCTGGGAGGAGTTTGACTTCACCGTTTGCTAGACCGGACAAAGCATTCTGTAGAACATCCCTTATGACAAGGTTGAAAAGGAATGGGGATATAGAGCAGCCTTGTCGAACTCCATTGGAGACGGCGAAGGGTGGCAAAAGCTGGTCATAGGCCCTAACCCGACCTGAGGATCGACACATACTTCTCAGGTACTCCATTCCTCAACAAACGGTTCCATAGTGCGGTCCTATCGACAGATTCGAAGGCCGCGCCAATGTCTAAGAATACAATGACCGTTGGTCTTTGGTAGGCATGACGGTGCTCAAGCAGCTACCGGAGGGTGAAGATTTGATCGATGCATCCACGACCGCGAAA